ACACATACACTGATAGTACCTATTTACTTACATCATACTATCTTATAATATCAAAACATATACATTATTTATAAAAGTACCTATGAAGTAAAAATTTATTATATATGTGTATAAAATTGTGTAAGTTGTAGGATTTTGGTATTCGCTTTGTGGTCGCAATACATTTTGAACTTGTAAAAACCTGAGAGTCGCAGTCTCAGAGCTTCGCTACCTTGCACTGACTTGTTCAATTTGTCAATCTATAAATACGAATGTGGGACAAATACGTTTATTCGTTTCCTTGAAAAGGAAAGTGCTAAGAAAATATTTTAAAAAATATAAACAGATAGTATATCACACAAATTATAGTGAGTCAGTGTTATTTTGTTTGAGAGTGCTGGAGAAAAGTCAGTACATTATTTTTTATCAAATTTTAGTTTTGTACTCGTAGTTAGCAGAGATAGATAAATTACGCCAATCATGACTTTAGTTATTAGTAGTTAAATATTCAATCATGCAAAATTACACGAGTACTCCTCAATAGTTTCTTTTTGAAAGTTTTAGCAATCGGTAATATAATTACAGTGCAATCTCCGTAATTCGAGCTAATTGTAGCAAGATGTTCGAATTATGGAATGTTTTCGGAAAAATCAAAAAATATTTTTAATATACAGCTGCTATATTTTCTGTCTTATTTAAATAATTTGATTTAGCTCACAGATGACTGATGCCATGTCCGAATCTAAAAAGAAATGTAGACAGTACAGTGTTGATTATTTTAAATTTGAGTTTTGAGTTCTAAGGTGGAATATGCGTCAAGTGTATGGCATCCGTATTACCAAATCTATACTAATGAAATTGAAAGTGTATAGAGAAGATTTCTTAAATACTTGGTTTTCAAGTCAGATGGTGTTCATTCCAATCGTGGGAACATTTCAGGACGTATCGTTACTGTAAGCCTTTGTTTTTCAGTTGTTAATCGAGCACTCGCTCAATGGTTTGTTCAGAATGTCCCAAAGAGCACTTTGACCGAAGGAAAAAACAATTTTCTCAATTTGTTTAAAAAAAATTCTCAAAAAAAAATGACTGCTCCTGTTCCTCTATTGCGGACATACCTACAATTGTCTTTTGTGCTTCATCTAAGTTTCCGCAAGGCTACTTGTCTTTCATTGTTGGAACTTCCTTCGACTGTTTGCATCTCTCGTACTAATACGCTGTTTACTACGAAAATCGATCAAAATGGGTAATTCATGTAGTTAACATTCATTATTAAGAATCAGTTTTAAGAAAAAATAATCGATTACCGAATTTCCAATATCTAACTCTCCTAAAACACAGCACCTTCTAGAGCGAAAGCTAAGTCCCCCTATCCATCTCATTATGCAGAGAACCGCTGACGCCCAATCAGGAAACTGCAGTTGTGTGCAGTGGCAGTACGTTTGGTGGAACAACGGGTTAGATATCAGAACGTAAGTGCTATATAATATGCTTATTTATTCCGCCTTTCATTTCTTTTTGGTCCATTTGAACTTTGTTTTTGAAAAACTGTAGCATACGTCATATTTTTGGACATGATAATTCAAGAAATAATGAAATTATGGCTCAAAATTGAATATAAAGCATCTTATCTATCGTTTATCACGTATGCCAATTTTTATATGGTAAAGGACTATTATGGGGCTTAAAAACAATATATTTTTTTATTTTCTTACATTTTTGGTGTTCAGACATTTTTATTATAGTTAAAATAGTCTCTGAAAGCTTGAAACCGAGCAATTTTCATTTTTACAAGATGGCGGCCAAATGTGCTAAGGTGTCATGTTTTTCTAATAGTCCTCTACCAAACCTGATTCATGCGCACGATGCATAGGATTTTGGTGACCGGTTCTCAAAAAATGTCCTTGTGACAAAAATATATTAGTGAACTTCGAGCATATTTTTATTCTTGCAGTGGTCTTTGGGGGAGGAACTCTCACCTCGTTCCCCCCTTCCTTCCCGTGTGCCCGTCAGTGCAACTGTCACTTTCACAGTAAAACAAAATCCATACATCAATCTTATCACACCGAATTTTGACTCACTAACTTGACCTGCTCCAAAACAAGTAGGAAAGACATTTAGGATGGAATGAGTTAGTACGCTGAAATTTGGGACAATGAAATTGATACATGGACACTTTCTATTCGTGTGCAGATGGCAGTTGAAAATAGCATGCCAGGTTGTCTAAGCGTTTCTACTTCCCACGCCTGACTGACGGCGGAGAAAAATGCCAAAAACGGAAAAAAAAAACGCTCAAACTTCCTTGTTTGACATTTCAGCCGATCCTGATTATTGTCGAAAAAATTTTGGTAGGCCTAAAAATTGACGGTTAGGGGTTGCAGTCAGTGAGAGAGCTAGGTAACTTTTTTCTCAGAACGGCTAGCTTGTGCCAAACGTAATCCTTTACGAACAGCGTAGTGTGGGAAGTTCAAAGTCAACTTACTTGACGCCATTTTTTCAATGGCAACATGAAATTACTTTCAATATTTTTTGTATCCCGCCACTTCGATGTTTTAGAAGGAACTCAAAACGTTGTCTAATTGGAAGATAAAGGTTTAAATATGTCTTACGTTATATGTACTTTAAGCCCGCCACCCCCAGACCTACAGGACCCACCCGCAATCAAGTTCTATATGCGCCACTGACATACTTCAAATTCTGCCGTTCCCGTGTGATTTCTGCGGTACGCTTTATACCATTCAGCTATTTCTCTTCAAGAATGATGTTTAACCGACATGTCAATAATTCGCAGTTCGGGTTTCGTTAGAAAAACAACTGATAACTGACTTGCTTGCAGTGGCAAAATTCGCAACGGCCGACGCGATTTGGATGTGTAATAATGTTTATTTTAGACCAGCTGTTACACGATCCAGTCACAGTTTAAGTCTACTCTAAGCAGAACCTCATCGTTGCCAATTTTTAGATATTTAACGGCGCTCTCACAGTCAAGCAGAGTGCAGAGTTTCTGATGAGTATCGGGGGGGTGATAGGGAAACGCTAGTAGGACGGCGTTGTGTCAAGGCAAGCGTGTGCTGTTCGCGTGCCCGGTTGAACTTGCATATTGCACAGAGTCGGATTTGGTTTGGATATAAAATCTAGCGTACGACTCTTTCCCTATTTTGGCGCATAGTATACCCAGCCCTTATTACTCTTATTACCGTTATTGTTTTGTTGTATTATCGTGGAGTTATCGTTGTGTTGTTATTGTTGTGTTACTATTGTTGAGTGTCTTTCTTACCAAGGTATCAAAAATGAACAATAAGAGAAATAAACATGGCGTCTCGAAGAAGCCGCATTTAAATACGCACAGGAAAAAAGACGTTTTCCAGATAGAAAGGTAGGTACCGTAAAAATTATTAATTATAGAATTCATTTTGCCAATAAATTAGACTTTACGTAGTTACTATTATAATTATATTTTATATGTTATTTTAGCTTAAAAATGACAGCAAGGTTTCGCATATGCATTCTCTAACAGAGACAGATGGCATGGATCTTCAAATTCAGGTGAGTATACCCTTTTTTAGGATATATTTTTACTTTTTTAGTAACATATTTATGAAACATTATTGTAGAAAGAAGAAGCGGTCGTTTCACAGACAACCATGGAAACACAATTAGAGGAATCCAACCGTCAAACTGAAGTAAGTCCATTTTCATCAGTATGTAGAATTTATATGTATGTTTTTCAATCAAAGTGTTTTTCATGTAGGGGCTTCCGTCTCTGGGGCGACGGATTCGGACATATTCGGTAAGCTGCTGATAGTGACGATGTGAGTTTTGCGTTTCGGGGATGGATGCAGGGGCAGGGGGAGTACTGAGTTATAATAGGTAATGCCAGTGTGGAAAATTGGAAAGGACGGGACTGGGCGCCATCTTGGTCAATTTTTCTTAATGAAATGAGTTTTCTTGAGATACCTTATCTTGAAGCTCTTTATTTTTATTCTAAAATATATTGTCCGCGTATAGATTCAATCATCCGAAATTTCATCACGCGTACTTCGATCAAAATTAACTTGTAGGACCTTTTTCAAAAGCACTGTATATAAGCGGTAAGTTTTTGTGTGTGCTAGGTCGATAACGCTGTTATTATTAGGTTATTTTTTTATATTCAAGCTAACACGCAGGTCTTACATTGAAGGGGGAAACATCACACAGACACCAGCGAGTTAGCAAGCAGCGCACATCATGACCCCACTTAAAAGACCCGCCGGGTGGTACCTCCATGGTATTCGATGGTCCATGACCGTTGACCGTCTACCATCTACGAGATACCTATAAGTTATATCAGAATATATATGCTTGACACTCGAATATGCCGCTTTTCAGAGAATGATCTATAATTACGAGTACATGGAAACACTGTGTTTTTTTAATGGATTGACATATATTTTAGTACAGTATGAAAGGTCTTTTCAGTAAAGGAGGTGAAATGCTTTAGGGTTTGTATTGCTACTTCTGCAGCTGATCTTTTTTTTGCAATATATGTAATGAACCGCGTATACATGGTGGTTGAAAACGTAAAATGTACATTTTCTCAAAAAATTGAAATGGAATGTCCTGTATTTTTTTATGACTTTAAATTGTCCTTTCTGTGTATAAATGTATTTAAAAATCATTCTAATTAAAATTATTGTGATTTATCACGGTGGTATATTTTCAGCAAACTATCGAATGCACCAATCATCACGAAGACATTCTTGAAGGACGTCGAATAGTAGATGTAAATTTTTTTTCAAATCGCTTCTGGGAATCTCTCAACATTCGGCAAACTTTGGATGTACCTTGGGAAACCTAATTTTCCTTGAAGAAAAAAGAGAGGGCTTGATTTCTACCTATTTTGTGAAGTGCAATATGTGCAATGCAACATTCAACCTCCACACGTCCGAAAGCAACATCAACAGGGATGCTGTGTTAGCAATAATGAACATTGGTTCGGGTTTACGCATCTTGAACAGATAACGGCAACCCTTGATGTGCCCTGTATGTCAACCAGAACGTATGACAAGTTGCATGCTGAGATATGTGAAGCTTGGAAGCAGAAGAGCGTAGAAACGATGAAAAATGCAGCAGATGAAGAAAGGGCGCTCGCAATGACTGATGGACAAGTGGATGCAAATGGAGTTCCGCTAATAACTGTGGTAGCTGATGGAAGTTGGGCAAAAAGATCCTACCATTCTAATTACAGCTCCCTGTCTGGTGCCGCTGCCATAATCGGCTACAAAACAAAACTCTTTCTAGGAGTAAGAAATAAGTATTGCACCATTTGCAAGATAGCTGAGAGGGCCAATATGTCTCTAACTAAGCCACACAAATGTTTTAAAAATTGGACTGGTTCATCAAGCAGTATGGAGGCCGACATAACTGCGGAAGGCTTTTCTAAGAGCTTGGCCAAATATATGATAAGTTGATTGCTGATGGTGATAGTAACTGCTACAAACAACTTCTCGACCCTCATCCGTATGAAGATGTCATAGTAGAAAAAATTGAATGTAAAAATCATCTGCTGAGGAATTACTCGAGGAAAGTCCGAGATCTAATCAAGGATACTTCAGCAGGACCTCTTGTGTTGCGTAAGCAGATTCAGGTGTGTGGAGCCGACACAGATGTGCTTTTTCATTTTAATTTTATTCATCCTCATAGATGTACGAAATGTATTTCTGTATTTAAAAAACAACATTAATTTGGAGAAGATAGAACTTTAGCTGTTTCATGAAATATACTAAATAATATTATAGCAAAATCAATTAAAACTACGATGGGCAATCAGTAAATCCGTGTTCTATCGGAAAAGTGAAAATATTGAATTTACTCATAAAGTAGAGGGCTTAAAAAAGGATATACAAAACTCCATTAGCCATATATTTGGTGAGCATAAGGACTGCCAAAACATACGTTATTTTTGCAATAAGCCATATGTTGCACATGGAACCACGATGAGTGATCTGAAAATGACAGGTAGGGTTGTGTTATATGGGAAATATATTGACACAGTACTTTCCATGCATCAATATGATAATTACGCGAGAGGTACAGCGTTGGCCTATTGGATGCATGTTTAATAGCAACTTTGTTTTATTCCATTTTTTTTTTTTAGATTTGCACCAGAGGCTGATATCATTTCAGGCAATTCTGATTAAAAATGCAGTAAGTTTACTTTATGACGTCGATAATAATATTGTAGAGGAGTTTAACTCAATCATAGCTAAATTCATTGGGTGTAAACGGATTAATTATCGTAAGAAGAGATCCTACCAAGGAAGATGTGCTGCAGCCGTAGTGAGCCACAATACACAGCGTCCTGTTTGTGTGATCCAAAAGTGGCTACTTCCTAGTTTCAGTCCAACCTCTTTGATTGCTAAAGTTGAAGAACGTATAAAAATCGGAAAAGGAAGCTGAAACCAAGCAAAATTAAAATCAGAGATAGTGATACTAAAGAGAACGCATCCTATGGGGAATTCTGTGAGAGAGACTGCGTCTCGGTTTGGTGAGGTTTGTAGAAGAAGAGATACAACAAGTTGCAAAGTTCTAGTAAACGCCATAATATACCCAACCGAATTCTTTAGCAAGGCATGTGACTATGGAAACAAGCATGAAAGCGTGGCAAAGGCAGAAATAGAGAAATCATATTCGCAATCAGAAGTACAATCTTGCGGGTTGTTTATTGATAGGACCTATCCATTTCTGGCAGCATCGATAGGCGAAAAAGATCTGCTAGCAATTAAATGTCCATGGTCGGCCCTGAAGAGGGCATTCTGAACAAAAAAATTACGTTTTGGATAAACGATGAAATAAATAAAAAACAAGTGGTATTACCAAATTCAAGGGCAGCTACACGTTGCACAAAGAGAGTACTGTGATCTTGGTGTTTGGACCCCGTATGGTTTGAAAATAGACGTCATTCAAAGGGATGACGTTTTCTGGAAAAATGAAATGGAAGAGAAATTGAAATTCTTCTACATGAACTGCCTGCTCCCAGAACTGGTCGATCCCAGGAAAAGCAGAAATATGTCAATCCGCAATCCCGATGCGATCTTGGAGGCACAAGAGAACCGTTTGAACAAGAAAAAGAGTTCTTGAGAATTGGCTATTTTTGCTGTACTCGGGTACCAAAATGGAAGAGATTAGCATATTACATTGTACGCCGTTACTAACCTCTCCGTGTCGGCAAATGCGCTGTGCAGATCTCGCATTAGCAGCGATGTGCGAGATGTTATGCTAATCTCTTCCATCTTGGTACTAGTACCAGACGTTCACTATTTATTGTATATTATGTATATATTGTTTATTTAAATAAAAGTCAATCGTCAGGCTCAATAGCACGTAGCATCGGCTACGAGCTAGCTTTATCTAGTCTGTTAGATGGCGAATATTGAAATATCACATTGACACGTTAAGCGCCACAGTAGAATCTCAAAATCCAGTCCACTGGGTCAAACTGTTATTATTGTCAAATTAGCTTGTTTTAAGTTTCGATTTAATATTTTGACAAATCCTATGATTTTTCCCCTTTTTTATTGATTTTTTTTTGTGAGGTACTATTTGTATGTCGCGCGGCCCACTGACCAGTCGGGCCACGTGGCACATAAGTCGCGTCGCGTTTATTGCAAGTCAAGACTTGCATCATGTCGCGCGTTGAGCACTGTTTCGTGTCATTTATTATTGAAGCGTTGTTGATATTGTACGCCATCTTGTCCAAATTGCTTTGCTGTTTATAAACTATTGAATACCAAATTTAGTGATGTCGCATTACGAAGTGGAGCAAAAAAGACTTGAACAATTGTGGAATGAACTACTATCGGATGAAGAGAGTGGCAGTAGTGAGGTATGTGGGTATGTATACTTATCTGACGCGTATTCTCCAAGTGGTAGTGAATCAGATAGGAGTTGTAGTAATTCCATATTTATCTATATTACTATTTATTTATACCGTTATTTTGTTTATTCCTATTACTGATTTGCTGTGAAATTACATTGTTCATTTTTGAATGAGAATGTCTGATTATTTTATAAGATTTACTTTTTGTTTTAGATTTGTAGAATCTCCTCTTTTTGTAAAACTCTATAAACAACGCGTTTTTTAATGTTTTCATTTCCAATTGAGTATAATTTGGTCCCTCAGGCCACGTACTCTTGGTTCCCGTAAGAAAATCACATCAGCATGCAGCAGCAGTCTTACGTTACGCGGCCAAATATAACTGCCAGCAGTGAGACATATCATGTGTGTCACGAGGCCTAAAGTGCCAAGTGAGGTGCGACACACGCATTATAACTCATGGCGCTTATCGTGTTGAGTTTGTTTTACGATACTTCATAAGGTTAAGGCTAAACAGCAAGTGACATTTTATTTGTGTTAAGTGCGTTCACTATAATTATTATTTTTAACTAAAAAGATTATCGCCTCCCCCTGGAACCACCTGGAAACTTTTGGTCACAAAGTTCTGTATTTTACCACACATGTCAAGTCTTTTCATTTGATATGTAAATTGGGGGTTTTGTGCAAAAATATGTAACTCGCAATTGCGAAACGGCGGCAATCTTGGAATCAAATTTTTAATGAAGTACTGTATTCTACAAGGCGACGACTCTTATTTGACATATTAGCAAGATTTTGTTAAAGTATGTTATCCGCCATTTTGTGTCGGCCGCCATCTTGATCTGAAACTGTTTTCGTATTACTGTATTGTACAAGTGTTTCCATTTGATATCCATATTGGGGTGATTGAACAAAAATGATATTTTGTGGGATCACCTCTGAAGTATGGCCTATTGTATAAAAAGAAATGATCAAAATCGATTAAAAATTTCCCCTCCTTCATTGAAGTCTATTAAAAATGTCACTTACTGGTCCGATGTTTATCTCGAACGACCGACGTCAGAACTGCTACTGTTTAACTTGGAACAACAAATTATCTGAATACGTCCTTTCTTAGTCCGTACACACCGCCGCGTTGCTTCGACTGGCAGCACGAGGTAGTGGATAAAATTCGTGTAAAAGCCTATTTGCAGAGGTTTTCGCGCTTCAAAATTGACGCTTCATTTTTGAATATTTTTCAATGAAATTTTCACAGTGCACTAAAAACAAGACTCCACAGGGTGCTATAGAGCCACTTTTTCGTTTTTTCCTCTGAGTTATTTTTAAAAAAATCGAAAAGTCGAACAACAATTATCTGCACTTCCACCCACCATAACTCTTGAACCATTTTTTTTTTAGAAAAGTGGCACTATAGCACCCTGGGCTCTGAACATACTGTATAAATATTATTCAAATATATAGAAAAATGGAGCTTCAGTTTCGAAGCAGCTGAACCCTTGTAAATGGCCTAAAACTCACTGCGTCGGAGCCGCCTTCAGGCATTTTCAAACAAACTTTAATCCTTTAATTTGGCACGGCCTCAAAATTCGTTCTTAGCTGAAATGTCCTGTCGATAACCTACCTTCCTGCCAACATTGATGTTTGTAGGTCAAATAGCTTCCGTTATCTCGTGATTAATGTGTATCTTTTAGCTTTTATATACAGGGTGTTTCAAATTCGACCCTCATCAATAGAATCTCGGAGACTGTAATAGATACGTCGCTTAAACGGGGACAAAGTTGCATATCTAGGTAGTTAACGAATTGCAGCTCTGAAAGTTTCGAAATTGAAAGTACTGCTTGAGAGACGGAAAAAAACGAATGTTCTCGAGATCGTTCCGATATTTTCCTCAGTTTATTTGTAGTGAGAGCTCAAATAAATTGCACATTAACATTGCCACCTTTTTCCTCTTCAAGATGGCATAATTAAAATTTCGTCTCTTGTTCTCGAGCATCAACTTTATTTTCTCAAAAAGATCTTCCAGTTCCTTAGGAATGACTCTTGAGTTTGCCACAGCTGGCATATTTCGAATAACTGCAGAAACTGGACACCAGTGTCCCAGCTCCGAAACCTCCTTTAATGAAGTAAGTTTTGAAGGGTAATGACTGACATTCATTAGTCTCACAGAAATAGTTTGCACGCACAAGAGTGTAGCTGCTATCCCTCGGCCAATAGCCTCGTCATGCATCCTATGTTCAAACATGACTATTTCTCTATCTGTAGTCTAGCCCTCTACCGAGCCATTCAATACAACTTCGCTTCGTTCTGGGATCACGGTGTTTTCAGGCAATAGAACTCGTACGTTTCCATTCCTTTCGCGGTGTAAAATGACCTACTCATTGTTGAGTCTCAAGATTCTTTGCTTAAAGTTCAACACGAAGCCCTTTGTGTCCATGATGTCCATTCCGATGATTAAATCGTCCTCAATATCAGCTACTATCGCCGGATGTTCGAATGTAGCTTTTCCTATTCCAAATGCGATGTTTACTTCACCGTATACGTTTTCTTGGTCTCCCGGCGCCCATCGTAGTCGCCATTTGGATGGTCGGATCTTCG